TATGAAGGAAATATGGATTGTATTAGATGATCCCAAAAGATACAAATGACCCCTTATTTATAGAGGAAACCACGGAATTGGGAAATAACAACCTATGTTAACAGTACAACTAACTTAAGTAAAGTTAACTACTTGTTAACTACATCAATGTGTCCCCTACATGTCCCTACGTGTCCCATAAAAAAAAAAAGAATTGGACACTCTTATTTAGCATGTAGGACGTGTCTGTTCATGTTAGTGTCCAATGCCGACACTTTGCCATTGTTTACATGTTCGTGCTTTATATCCCTGAGTAGATTAGTCACTTCACTTGGAATGGGCAAACTTAACTTGAAGCTAAAATTGATACTAAAATCAAAATGTGAGATCCATTGTTGGGATGGGGTGGGGGTGTGTTTGAAACAAGAGATAGTAAATCCGGAAGTTACCCAAGTCCTTCATACATCATAGATAAAAGTTTTTTGTTTTTTTTTTTTTTTGTGATAAAAGATGGGAACCATGTATTCAAATAGGAAACAGCCATGGAAGAAACAACCTAAGGGCAGTGGGTTGAGGTCACCCACCCCAGGGACTAAAGAATAACCGCTTTGCTTCGCAATCATTCACAATCATATGAACACTATAATTAAGAAACAGAATAACCGCTTTCCAATCATTCACAATCATATGAAGATGTAATTACAAAAGTGTTTCTTGTGGGAGATGGAACAACAATACAGGATAGGTGGAAGGGTTCCCAACCTTTAATGATGCAATTCCCGTTTCCTACATCTTTTCGAAATTACCACTAAAAAATTGTAAGGTTACTAAAGTCTGGGATGGTGATTGAAAAAGATGTAAGAAGTCTTTTGAAATTACTGGGGCATAATTGAAACCTACCACTTGTGCCCACGTGTACTCTTATTATTAGAGGGGTTGGGAGATCTTGGGAGCATGTTTGGACTCTTGTTCGGTTTCATGTTTCCCTTGGGCCTTGGTGTCCAAAACTTTTTGTTAATTATTCATTAGGTTTGATTTTGATTGATTGGAGCTCGTTCTTTTAGTTTTTGAGCTGTTTTTATGCCCTTTTGTTTTGTTTCATTATTCTCAATGAAATTTTGATTTTTTCTCAAAAGAAAAAAGAAAAAAACACTCACCATGAAGTCATATTTTGATCTTTATTTTAATAGAAACGTCGACGGGAAGAGTTTTGAAACAATTTTAGGATAAAAATGAAACTAGAAACACTATTAAACTTTTGGCAATACACATCAGACATTCCAAGGTAAGTGCACCTTTGGACTTTACGTAGATACAAACGGAAGTTAATGGAAGATAAGTTGTATCTTGTGTACTAGCACTTCAGGGTGAGGAGATGGGAAATTTTATTTAAACACCAGAATGAATTAGACATATAATATGGATGATAACATCCCCTCCCTGGATCTTCCTCTAAAGGTTTTCTTGATTTATTTACATATAAATAATAAAAGAAAGTTATAGCCTATATAATTCCCGATGCTGTGAACATTGGAAAATAATCTTGAATGTTTCCTTGGCGTCGCGATGTACAGACAGTGGTCATGAACATTGACATCTATTTAACCTTGGAATGATAACCATCGCAGCTGTGAACTTATTGCACTATATATATTTACTTGTGTCTACTATGTATTTGATTCTGTTGCAATACATTATACTTTCCATGGCGGCTAGCAACAGTATCCAAATGCTCTATTTGATTGACTGTGTTAATGAAAACAATCTTTCACATGTAAGGCATAATGATGTTGAAAAATGATATAATAAATGAAGATCTAGAAAAATATTTTGTCTTCTTCCCAGATGGGGATCAGCACCGTGGATTCTTCAGTTTCTGGTCTTGGAGGTTGTCCTTATGCTAAAGGTGCTTCTGGAAATGTTGCGACTGAAGATGTTGTGTATATGCTGAATGGAATTGGGGTGAAGACCAATGTAGATCTTGAAAAGCTCATGTTGGCTGGGGATTTCATCTGCAACCACTTGGGGCGTCCTTCTGGTTCAAAAGCAGCAATTGCACTGCGAAAAGTTGCAGCAAATGCCTCCAACTCCAATAAATTACCAGCTACTGCATCCAAATTATGAGGTACTAAAGCTGTAAAATGCATGCCCTTTCTTCTCTAACAGTTCCTCTATTTCTATCCTTTATTTGCTTTTTATTTTTTTGGGGGGAGGTGTTGTGTGCCGATATAATTTTCAGTTGTAACAATCCAGATGGCGCATTTCATTTGAGGCAGAAGTGGAAGTTAAACCATGAAAATTGATAAAAAGGAACAGGAACTTTACTCATTATTTGTATATCTTTGGGTAAAATACACTTTTGGTCTTTTAGCTCAGTTTAGCTCAGTTGACTGATAGTTTGAATAACGAAAAATAGCATGATAGTTTGTTACTTATTGGGAATTTGGAAATTATTTAATTTTATATTACTATTTTTATTGATTGGATATATGAGTTCAGCTGGCATCTCCTGTTTCTTTCTTCTCTTTTCTTCTTCCTCCTTTTGCTACCTTTAATGGCACCACTGTTTTCATCCTTCCTGTCGCCATTGCCACTATCTTCCTCCTTGTGTCCCGTCATCACTTCCACTAAATTAGACTTCCAGTTCTAGATTATTCTAATTTTGAACAAAGGGAAAGCTCCCTTTGTCCAAATCTGGAACAAATAAGCTATGGGATAATTTGGAATCTCTCTCAAACTTTAGGGACTAAAATATTTTTTTTGAAACCACATATCAAATAGACATCAACCTGAAACTTTAAGGATTGAAAGTGTATTTTACTCTATCTTTTTACCTTTCTTCTAGTTGCAAAAGTATTTTATTGTTTTTGTTGCTCCCGTCTAACTTGAGACGAAAACATAAATTTTGTTATTAATGTTCAAGCCAATCATATTGACAGAACTTTTATCATTGTGTTGGTGAAAATAAACATTGATTGTCCATCTAATTAAGCTAGCAATATGAGTGAAGAAAATTATTGCTTCTTTTGGTATCATTTGACATTGCGAATTTGCAGAATTTAGTGTTTCAGCGATGTGCGGACCCGATGCCGAATGCACATATGAAGAAATAATGGAGTCAGTTTCAGTTGTGGCTCAAATCAATAATGTTTGCAGGACTTAAAAGTCTGCAGCTGTCTCCCGTACGCATCTTCCGGGCTACAGAAAGATTTGTTTTTTTAGTACTTAACATGTGGGGTGGGAAAAGAATCTGAAGTTTGTAAGTTTGCTTCAGTCTTTTTTAAGAGCTCTATTTCAGAAAATACAGGAAAATGGTACCCAACAAAATGACGCATGTCTATATAAGAGAATAGTTGAGCAAGTATTTTATGTTGGTAGTTTTCTTTTTTTATTTTTTAAAGCTAAAAGTTTTTTTTTTAAAAGCTAATAGTTGCTGTTTCGACAGATTTTTTAGCTAATATGATAAAGGAACTATCTCAATTACGCAGGAGAACTCCCTTATTCAATGTAAACCTTCACAAGAACAATAAGAATAATCCAAATAACATGATAAACCAATTCCAAGAAAGCTAAACAGATTTATTAGATATGATTAAAGATAAAGGATAAAGGATAACTTGTTTCTATATTTAAGATTTCGAACTCTCCACAATCTAATTGATCAAACTAGATTGAAAGTTCTAAATATGCTTTTTAGTACAAGAATACAAATAAAAGCTTTTAAAGTCTGAGAGAGAAAAACGCAATCTGAAATTTCATTTATCAAATATTGTTTTTCCAAAAGTAAATGTACATTCTTATATATAGTAATTGAAAAGATATAACGAAAAAACACCACACTTGACTAATTAGTCTAAATTCAGCCTATACTTTTTTAAGTTCATACAAATTCATAAATTATTTTTTTCGGAGGACTGCCTTAAAAGACTTCCATAGTCTCACCAACGGTATGTTGATGTGAAAATTTTAGGGATGATGTGACATTTGCTTGCGTGTTAATTTTGAGGTAAAAAAAGAAAAAGAAAAAAAATCAAGATGATGAGGAGACTCCCATGGAAAGCTATTGCAGGTGACCATTAGTAAGAATCCGAACATGGAGAACATGGCGAGCCGCCCCTTGTCTTCTTTACCTTTAACTTGTAATTTTTGCTATCAAGGCAGTTTTTACATATTCTGATTAGTACTTAATTTGTTTACTCTGCGTTGAAATTGGTTGCATAATTTGGCCCAGAATGAATGACATTCTACAGAAGCTTCATATGATGATAAGTATGTGAATTCAGGCCAGAAACTGGGTATATGAGTGGCTTTTCGGCGGAGGAGAAGGCCGGATTCCGCTGATTCTAGAGGATAAAGAAAGTTGGCCTCTTCCCCCCAATGTGAAGTCTCTGCTTCGCCGCAAAGGAGGTGTCTTCCATGGCAGACTCTTCATCTTCTCGGTTTTCTTCCTTTTCTTTTCATTTTTTAAAAAACTCAAATGTGACACTTCATCCTTCAAATTTCCTTGTCATCATTCAGTGTTTGGTTCTAGAGGGATCTTTTACGATCATTTTCTGACTAAATTGTTAACTTTTAAAACTTAGGGACCAAGTAAAAACCTAACTTCAAACTCATATCAAAAGTGTATTCTAGCCATATATATATATATATTCACTAAACCTCCCCTCAAGGCATTTTTCTTTTCTAAATTGGTCATTTTTCAAAGATTTTATACTTCTAATGGGACCAATAACCTTTTTATTTTTTATTTTAATAATATTAACGAAGATTATATCTTCTGGGATTTTTTTTAATATTATTATATATTAAACTTATTTTAAAAATATTGTTATTTAATTAAAAATATTCGAAATAGGGTAGTTTTTGAAACTTTTTTAAAAAATATTGTTGTTTTAAAAAACCAAAGGACGTCCATGCAACGTGGCGCCCATGTTATTTAAATTTGACGAGTTTTGAACAGACGATCACGTTCTAACTCTACTCGACAAAAATTATTAACAAGGTTTGGATCTCTCGATTGAACGTCAATATTTCTTTGTCTCAAGGTTGGCTTAAGTGAACTTCGCCAACTATGCAATAACCTCACCAGTGCAACTACTATCTCTGCACATTCCAAATGACTAAGTATATGGGTCTGTGTGGTGATCAAGGCTGATGTGTAGGCTGACTTCCTACTTAACGCATCTGCCACTACATTTGCTTTACCTAGATGGTATAAAATATCGTAGTCATAATCTTTCACTAACTCAAGCCACTTTCATTGTCTCATATTTAACTCATTATGAGTGAAAAAGTACTTTAAGCTCTTATGGTCTGTAAAGATTTGAATTTTCTCTCCATGTAGGTAGTGCCTCCAGATTTTCAAAGAAAAGACTACTGCTACTAACTCCAAATCGTGGGTTGGATAATTTCGTTCGTGGTTTCAACTGACAAGTGGAATAAGCAATGAGTTTCCATGTTGCATCAAAACACAACCTATCCCCTTTTTATAAGCATCATGTAAATAACAAAATTTTGTGCTCCATCTGGCATGGTGAGCATCGAAGTTGAAACTAGCCTTTGCTTGAGTTCTTGGAAACTCAACTCGCAAGCTATACTTCAAACAAATGAATTGACCTAACGAGTTATTGAATTAGGGGTGTGGCTATGATAGAGAAATCTTACACAAATTGACGGTAATAACCTGCCAATCCCAAAATACTATGTACTCACTAATAGTGGATGGACGATGCCAATTGGTCACTACTTCCACCTTTGCTGGATCTATTGAGACTATCTTTAGACACCACGTGTAAGAAGGATATCTGTCGAAGCCAAAGCTCACGTTTAGAGACATTGGTATATAACTTATTCACTCTTAGAGTTGTCAACACTCTCCTAAGGTGTTCCTCATGCTCTGCATTTGTTTTAGAATAGACTAAAATATAATGAATGAAAACAATCACGATGGGTGTTAAGGAACTCTTTAAACACTCTATTCATTAAGTCCATGAAAACTACAAGTGCATTTGTTAGTTCAGAAGACATTACAATGAATTCATAATGCCCATACCTAAACCTAAAAGTTGTTTTTTAGATATCTTTATATTTTATTCTCAACTGGTGATATCCTGACCGCAAGTCGATCGTGGAGAATATAGTTGCTCCCTAAAGTCGATTGAAGAAATCATCAATTCGAGGTAGAGGATACTTATTATTTACCGTCACCTTATTTAGTTAACGATAGTCAATACATAGCCTCATGGACCCATCTTTATTCTTCACGAACAAAACTGGTGCACCCTAAGGCAAAACACTTAGGGCGTATAAAGCCTTTGTCCAGTAACTCCTATATTTGTGACTTAAGCTCTTTCAACTCTGCTGGGGCCATTCTATATAGAGCCTTAGAGATGGGAGTTGTCCCCGACTCGAGCTCGATGTTGAAATCCACATCTCAAACTGGTGGTAATTCTTAAAGATCCTCAGAGAACACATCTACGAACTCCCTAACTACGAGTATTGAAGCCATCGCAACTGTAGTACATCTACTGTCAATTACACTAGCCAACAAGTCGTCCCATGCTCCTTGATTGACCAACTTCTTAACTTTCAATGTTGAGACCATTTTAGGAATGACCCTTGTCTGAGATCCCTTAAATTTGAAGTTGGTTCTTGATGGTGGTTTAAAAGTGACTTCTTTATGATAACAATCAATGTTGGCATGGTTTGCAGGCAATCATTCCATACCAAGGATAACGTCAAAATCACTCATATCTAGTACTATTAGTGTCACATACAATAAGTGATCTGACACCAACACCTAACAGACTTTTACTGTCTCACTAGCTAACATAATCACCCCTGCCGGGTGATAACTCTCCTAAAGAGATTGTTTTTTGGTCTAATTTGGGCAATTTTGGTGTCTAAATGTAAGGGTCCTTGGTTAAATAATAGAAAGTGAAGTAGGCGCCTAAGCTGTTTAGAATTATCAATATCCTTGAATTGAGTGAGTTTGAGCTGATTCTCTGATTATTTTTGTTTGTTTGAACTGATTATCTAATTATTTTGGTTTGTTTGAGCTGATTATCTGATTATTTTGGTTTGTTTTTGCAGATCTGAGCTTAAGAGTTGGATGCCAAAGCTGGGCACTGTGAAGGCTGTTGTGGGAATGTTAGAGCCTAGGAAAAACCCTATGCTGGAGCTTGCTGGATGCTCTCGCATATGTTGACTTATGCAGTAACTTTATTGTCCCAATTTTTAACCGAGTCCGTACAGCTTCCAAGTGCTGCCCTAAAAATCAGGACCCAATATAAAAGGAAACTAGTACCTAGCGGCAAGAGGGAATAGAACAAAGGAATCAAGTTTAGGATCGGAAATAGAGAATATTCATCACCCATTTCGAGGAAGAAGCTGACGAAGGAGGAGCTGGCCCTTGCATCATTATTGAGCTAGAGGATTCTTCGCCACTACTGAAGCTTTTACACTTGGCAGGTCTTCTTTCTCTCTTATAGCTTTTATTTTAGTGGCTCATACATGCTGATTTAATAGAGGTGTTTCAATATTTCAATGGGAGGGGGGAATCATTTGCTGTAGCTCCCGAATAGCTTTGCTTTAATGGCTCATACATGTTGATTTAATAGATTTGTTTCAATATTTCCATCTTATTGACTTTGTTTGGTCAGCATTATTAGTTTCGTAGAGCTTCGTGACTTGAAAAAGTGCCCTTGATGCATTATAACCTCTATTTGCCTTAGATTCCTCCCTTTGAAGTAGGATGGTGAGTACTCAAGGATGAGACTCGCCCTATCCTGCCTGTAAACAGTGCGTTGTGCTTGTTTACTCTACTGCAAAAGTTGAGATTAAACATGTTTGGGTATTTCGGGAGAAAGCCATGTCTGTTTGGGCATTCAACATTGTGAGCTTGCTAGAGCGTTAGCTAGACGTGAGCGAGAGCATCCAAAGTGATTCCCCCTCGATTCATTTTTATGTTAAGAGTATATATATTATTATATTTTCTATACTCGTATTAATATGAATTAATTTGTCCTTTACCTTTTCCTTATAGCATTAGGTCAACCTTGTATATTTGTCTATATATATAGACATTAACAATGAGAATAGACTACATTGGATTCTCTCAAACCCTAGTATTTAAATGGTATCAAAACACTAGGTTTCTTCTAAAATTTTTTGAATCTTAGGATTTTGTGCCCATTAGGGTTTTTTTGAAACACCCTCCCTACCACTGCTACTGCCGACGCTGCTGCCGTTGTCCGCTCCCACCGTTGCCACTGCCGTCACTCATCGTTGCTACTACCGTCGTCCGCCGTTGTCGTTGCCATCGCCCACCGTTGTTGCTGTTGCCGTCACCCGTCGCTACCGTCGTCT